CAGGAATCAAAGTGATCATTTAGTATGCTCTAAATGAGAATGAGCACGTGTCATAAAATATAATGGTTTCTATAAAAACGCCAAAATTCCAGTTCTTTCGCCGATTGCACTTTACCTTGTGAAGATACTAGAACACGTTTCATAACCTCTGGCAGAGCGTTCAGCCTTTTTGTTCAATATTTATTTTTGTCATGTGAGATGAGYAAGGTTATGAGTTTGTATAATTGGGCGTGACTGGTTTCTAAGCCAGCGTTCMTCAGGGTGCTTATCCATGCATACATAATAATATATGTACATCTAATTGCAAAAATGTTGTCATAGGGAAAGGAACCATTTGAACTTTAGTACCAAGGAATGACATTAAAAACACAATARAAGATCACTCYGGCAGAATGCTYTCAAAGAAGCGAAAGATGCATATATAAATAATCGYRATGCTTACGTTTTCATAGATAACKCGCCCGGTTTTTTCATAATCGGCTTGCTCGTCATCAATGGGTGATTTCCGAAGTGYATCATTATGTGCATCGACAATGTTCGCATAAGATGCCGTGACTGRCTCTCGGYCATTGATTTTCTTGTTAAATGAAACAAAGGTACTTTCACTTTCCTCTTTTCCTTGTTGCACATCCTGTCATGTAAAACAATCGTGTTTAAAAATTGATGCTACTACGGTATTCTTATTATTAGAATATAATTTATTTATCATTCATGAGGTATCTAGGCGTCCGAATAATTGCTAAATTGAATTTGATGACAATTTTGATTCTTTTGATTGAGACTCCTTTCGACTATTCGATTATAATGAATGCAGGGAACAATCTCCAATGTGTAAACGGCAACATATGATGATATAATGGTGCTTTACAACTTACATTACTTTCGTTTTTCACGTCATCTACTGCATAGTTAACCGATGAYCCCACGCTGTTTTCAMAAACAAATATATATCAGCCATACAATATTYTTTTAAACATTTAGTAGGCTTGTCATTTTCTCATCGAAAGAATGACTGTAGCTGTCATTTGATTTGCACGATCGATAATCCATCTTTTTTGACACTTTTGTCATGCCTACAATCACYGCATGCAACCTGCTTAAGTCATCCTTACAACATGGYTATACAACTCTCGTAGGGATTTAAACAATTGCGTAACAGCCCCACGACAGTTGTAGCCATATTGTAAGGATGACTTAAACAGGTGGCATGTGTGCCGTCTAATTCGGCCTTAAGTCATACTTACTGCTTTTGCTCTAATCCATAWCCCGTTTGATCTATAAAATTACGAAAACAATGGATACATCAATCGTGTTCACAAGTTTCTTTATTGAGAAGACTTTTTCTAATTTTGTCTTTGAGGTGATTCTTACTTGTAACATATTTCCCGCCTTCCCTTAGTCTGCAGTAAAGGCAAATCAACATGAGGATGACTAGGATTAGCAGCACAACAGCCACGATGAACATTACACCGTGTAGCAATCCAATGCCTGCAAATACAAAGAAATACTGAATAAGGGAAAGGAAAATACATGCATAACTAACAAATGTTTAATTATGCTGATTATAGTATTTATCATTTACCTTTTTCACAATTTTGTCCATATCTGAATAGTTTGCATTCACACTTATAACTGTTGCCATCTACCTTGCACACGCTATCAAACTTACAAGGCTCACTTGAACACGGTGATTCTGAGAGAAAACAAAAAACAAAAAAAAACTCACTGTGTCAGCAGATCATATCATTGGTCTATTCCATGGCAGTGTAGTTCAAGGTAACAATTGCCTTCCAAGCAACTGATGGTCTCGGCGCACAAAACAAGTTCCTGGAAAGGTTCACAGTGTAACCATGGCTGTGTCGCGAAGCACTGCATGAAGACCTACCAAAATTGCACAGTGTAACAGCGGCAAACAGGGAAAAAAACTACTTATCTTTCCATATTCCTTTTTGACAATACACGTAAACTATACAATTTTTCGTTTCGTTTTTTTTTTGTCAATATTTGGTGAAATACTATAACACCCGAACAGCACTATGATATAAAAATAAATCTAAAATATTTGAAAGTGTACTGCTGTCGTGTATATAAATATTTAGGAATGCCAATGTGAACAAACTGCATCCGRCCAACAAACATCTTAAGTAAAAATCGGGTCGATTACTTAGAAKGCTAATTTCACGGTARATTCACGCAAWGTTAAATCCAGCTTATTAAAGTATAAATTTTCTAAAAGGCAAACACCGTACATTTTATACACTTTTTCTTCAAAAAACAACCTGAATCATTTCCAAATARTAGGCAGAAAACTTAAAAGACACGGYGTCGGAATTCRATGTTGCTTCGAGGACACTGGAGCCTTGTTTCCAATAATTTTTGGAAATTTAATCAAATTTTATTTTGACCCAATACTGATACCTCTTGTCAGTATCAAGTAATATTTTCACAGATTCACAGCATAGTTGAAGCCCCTCAAAATGCTGGAAATCGCATACTTGGTCCAGACTTAGATGCTCGTTAGTGGTTTGGACGGTGATTTATACTCCGTAAATTGTCGCGCGACAATTGCGCTGCAAAAAACGCAACTGTAAACGTACGTTAMGAYTACTCGYACAGATTTTCAGACCTTTCAATTATAAAGGAAATCGACCTACCAACAGCAGATGCTSTGATTGCGTTCGCCGAGTTCTTCAACACAAGTCKATTTGACAACTTTGTGCCATTAATCGTGGCATTCTTTATGRYATTTACCAACTCGCTTTGAGTCAACGTTTGGCTGAATTGTAGTTCAATYTCAGCATCTAGGCTTCCGGGTCTGAAATTGAAATTATCATGTTCAAGCCATAACGTAAGTACAGAGTATGTGACAACGATAAGTCTTGCGTTTTAAAAATGTAATGTTATAAGAGCACATGAATTTAGAAATATTAAAAAAAAATGTTTATTCTGATTTAGCATAAAAAGTAACTGATTTTTGCAAGATATGGAATACATTTCCAATAGCTGGACGCTMTCAATCTGTGAAACAATCAGTTTTCATTATACTCTATTCAAAACCTTGTCAGTTTGTTAGAACACCTGATAATATGCATCAAGAGAGGGACAAAACTTGCATTAATTTATCCCATGTATAGCAATCTAGTCTTGATAAAGCATGWTTTAGTAAGCAGTAGTATACAGCTTTAGTACTGAAGTACATACTTCAACGTTATCACTTCACAGCCTTTCAAAATGTCTCCATAGATTATTTTCATCTGCAAATAAATAATTTTTAGAACACAATTATTTGAATTATCTAAGAATTAAAAAAACACAGAAATACAAAATCAGCGATAAATGAAAATAAAAGTCTTTATTACATGACTTAGATAGTAGGCGCGCTCTGATTGGCTAATTTCCGGTGTGATATTTTCCCATATCGGACCGACCATGGCAATTGGTCCGGATTGTGTATTAGTTTCGCGACATTTTGTACTGTCCCGTACTGTCAAGACCTCAGTCTGATATTTTACCATACAGACCTCGCACTCGGTTAATAACCTTTATGTTTTCCGATGTCTTACTTAACCAAGTGCTGCTTCAACCAGAGTACAAAAATTTCAAGCTGGTTCAAGAAATCCGTCATAGCATGTAAGCTGCCTTGAATAACTGAAAATGCCGTATCATAGATGGTAACCAGTCCCCTAAACTGCACGTGCAGGAAAAGTACGTGATTACGTCATACGTCACGTATTTTATTGCAGGAAGAATAAATGTGATGTAACGCCATTCTCAAACATAAAATATCTTTTTGCTTGCAACAATTGTATTTTAGTACAAATTTAATTCAATAATAAGGGAAGGTACTTTGGGAGCGCTGGAGAATAGATTGTTTGCATTATGGCGTAACTTTACTTGAACTACCACAAAGCCTTGCGCAWTTTCATTGTAACTTCTGTTTTTAATCCCTATGCAGATTAGTAAAACAATTGTCACTAACTGCATTAAAATAAAGTGAGCAAAGCATTATGGTAGTTGTAGTTCATGACGCCATAATCGCCTATTCAGAATAATTTTTTCTAAACAACTTTTGATCCTCCCTGTTAACTCCAGGTTGTGCCTTATTTCTGATATGTTTGCTCTACGATTTTTTTATAATTTAATAAACAGTATCGTAATTCATTTGTGCATTACCTGGGAGCAAATGTTTTCCTCTACGTCTTTGAATTCCGTGCTGGACCTGTTATACAGCTGAGGACTCCATGTTGGTTTGACAAATACCAAGCGAACACGAAACCTTTTATTGAGGCGATCTTCAAAAGAATTGAATAAAGTTAATATATTCTCACTCAGCTTTACAGTTTTTATAGTTCTCAGCGCAATCTTGAAAAGTAGCCAATCCTTTTCTTGATAGAGGGAATTGAGGTTACAGTGATAGATACCTTTTGTCTAACAGCTAGGACAGGGATCAAGATAAGCTTAATCAATTGATGATCTCGCTTTGCTGCAAAGGTTGGGTTACCTGGACATTTGAACAGTAAAAATGGCGAAACAAAATGGCAGCCTTTTTAAGACTACTTTAAATTCTCATACATAAATATGTATCTTTGAAAATTCTTAGCTTATTTAACGTAAAAGGWTTTTAAACCTTAAATTAAATTCATATTGTTGCGTCACTGATTTCGGCTGAATTACCTTCCACTTCGCAAAATTGTCCTGTCAATCCACGAGTACACTTACAGACATACGATTTCTTTGTGCTTATGCATTGGGAACCAGTTTGACATTGATTTTGTGCACAGTAGCCTAAAAAGAAAAAAAATCATTGCCGCATAAGAGATCATGAGCAATGAMAGAATATGCATTCCAGAAAAAAGAGGGAATATTTTAAACATAATTTCATCATTGAAGGTAAAATAACAGTTGCGTACCAATAACAGTRACATTGAAATCCTTGGTTTTTATGGGTCCAATTCCATTTGATATGGAGCATTTGTATGTCCCTTGAGCTTCAGGTGTTGCTTTACGTATTAAAGTGTTCCCTGTGTGAATAACCTTAGGGCTACTGCCTTTAGTCCATGWTATATTCGGTAATGGAAATCCATCAGCTTTGCAGAATAGGATCATATCTTCGTTCTCGTCGGTAATCCCGGATGCGAGTGAAGAACTAGTTATAATGGGTGCAACTGAAAGAAAGTGTACGGGTAAGTATTTAAGATCACATTAATCAATCGATCGACCAAAACCCAACCCATAATGAAAAGAAACAAAAACAAAA